CCTTCCTTCCTTCCTTCCTTCCTTCCTTCCTTCCTTCCTTCCTTCCTCCCTCCCCCCTTCCTTTCCTTTCCTTTTTTCTTTTTCTTTTGTTTTTTTGAGACAGGGTTTCTCTGTGTAACCCTAGCTGTCCTAGAACTCACTCTGTAGACCATGCTGGCCTCCAACTCACAGAGATCCTCCTGCCTCTGGTTCCTGGTGCTGGGATTAAAACACATGCTACCACCACCCACTGCCACCCAGCTACCCTGGGGTTTCAAATGGTGTTCTGTTGTCCTTAATTTCTTATTGAATTTAGAAACATGCCCTCTTAGAGTGTGAGCAGAGGTTGATTCAATTTATTTGTAACAATGACATCAACATTTGAGTTCTTTTTGTGAAAAATTCACTTCATACCTTTGCATTGAGTGGACAACGCAGGGATAACTGGTCCTGACTTTTTTTTTTTAAACAAAGTGTTGTCTTTCCTAAGGATGCTATTTCTGATTCTAATATGAACCCTTCTGTTTGTCTTATCTAAGCACAATGAGAACATCCGTTGCTTAACCACTCTTGGCCATTTTGGGTTTGAATGTTTGCCCACTCAGCTGGTGAACAGATCCATCCAGAAAGGATTCTCTTTCAATATTCTCTGCGTGGGTAAGTGCCAAACCCTGCATGTAAATGATTATTTCATTTGTCTCCTACTCATTTAAACTGATACCAAACAGCATAATACTGACATCAATTCAGGAACGTTTCTTCATGTTTATGTTGTTTCCCCCTTCTTAACTGCATTGTTTAAACATTTAAGAAACTTTCAGCCTGGCCTGGTGACACATGGTGCTTGTTTTCTTTGGTTTGTTTTTTGAGACAGGATTTCTCTTTGTAGCCCTGGCTGTCCTGGAACTTGCTCTGTAGACCAAGCTGGTCTCGAACTCACAGAGATCTGCCTGCCTCTACCTTCCGAGTGCTGGGATAAAAGCCATGGGCCACCACCTCTTGACTCTGACAGGTATTGTTAGCCCAGCATTTGGGAGGCTGAACAGGCAGATCCCTCTGAGCTTGAGGACAGTTTGGTCTACGTAGCAAATTTCAGGGCAGCTAGGGCTACGTCGTCAGATCTTCTCTCTCTCTCTCTCTCTCTCTCTCTCTCTCTCTTTTAAAAAAACTGAAACTATTTCAGTGTTCTTTAAAGTCTGACACAGAGCAGTCTATTCTCTTTCTTTTCCATACTAGTGACTAAGGGAGCCCTAACCAATATGAACACATTCAGGGGCATTTCCGTGTGGCTGTTCATGGATGTGTTGGAAGCAAGCATCACTGTCACTCAGCAAACTCTAGTTCTATACACAGATAGGGTATGAGCGGTTGCTGCGATATGACAATGTAGAGCGATCTCAGCAAGATCACGAACATAGTCTGTGATTGGATGTTTCCTGTCCTGACTGCAGGGTACCAAATAACTGACTCAGGGGCTGAATATAAATCGTAAATGCTTAGCTGATAGCTCAGGCTTGTTTCTAGCTAACCCTTCCATTTGAACTAACCCATAACTTTATCTATGTTTAGCCACGCTGCTTGGTACCTTGTCTCAATATGGCATTCTCATTTTGCTTCACTGCGGTATCCTGACTCTCTGACTCCTCCCTTCTTCTCCTATTATCCTCTCTGCCTCTGGCTGTCTGGCCCAATCTCTTCTTACCCTACTATCAGCCAATCAGTTTTTTATTTTTATTTATTTTTAAAGATTTATTTATTATGTATACAGTGTTTTGCCCGCATACCAGAAGAGGGCACTAGATCTCATTACAGATGATTGTGAGCCAACATGTGGTTGCTGGGAATTGAACTCAGGTCCTCTGGAAGAGCAGCCAGACTTCTTAACTACTGAGCTGTCTCTCCAGCCCCCAATCAGTTTTTTAAAATAATAACGGGCACAATCCACAGCTGACGCCTTCTCTATTTTCCTATCATCTGAAGTTCATCTTTTAGCCATTCTGAAATGTACTTTTTCGTTAGCTTAGTCATTCTGCTGTGCAGCTGATATAAAAACTCACTCCTGCATATTTGAAGCTATGTGTGCTCCTATCAAACCTCAATTCTAGCCACAGCCTCTTGCGATCATTCTGCCCTCTCCTTGTAGGAGCGCGGCCATTTGGAACCATTTAAACCGCTCATTGAGGCTCGGCACTCTCTTACACCTCTGCGATGATGGGCTTGTGTTTATTACAGGAGAAACTGGAATCGGCAAATCAACACTGATCAACACACTGTTCAATATTAATCTGAAAGAGAGCAAGGCCTCCCATTTCTATTCAAAGGTTGGACTTAAAGTGAAGACGTATGAACTTCAGGATAGAAACATTCCCCTGAAGTTGACTGTTGTGAAGACAGTGGGGTACGGTGATCAGATAAACAAAGAAGCCAGGTTAGTGCTTTCTTATGGTTTTTAAATTAATTTTTAAAGTTAGCGTGGAAGGTATTGGGTTTCATTATGATGCGTTTTATTCTCTTTAAAAAATAAGTAGAGATCACTCCTTTTCTCTCTCTCTCTCTCTCTCTCTCTCTCTTTTTTAGATTTATTTATTTATTATGTATACAATGTTCTGTCTGTCTCTATGCTTGCTGGCCAGAAGAGGGCACCAGATCTCATTACAGATGGTTGTGAGCCACCATGTGGTTGCTGGGAATTGAACTCAGGACCTCTGGAAGAGCAGTCAGTGCTCTTAACCATCTCTCCAGCCTCCACCCCTCCACACTTTTTTTTTTTGAGACAGGTCTTACTATGTAGCCTCAACCATCCTGGAACTCTATATCAGCCTGACTTTGAACCTGCCTCTGCTTCCTAAGTGCTTGGATAAAAAGTATGTGCCACCAGGCACTGTGTTTTGATATTTTATTTAAAATTCTTCTCATTTCAACAAATTGCCTTCTTTTTGCTAGACTAAATTGTAATATCTTAAAATTTTTATTTTTATCATTTTAACTGTATGTGTGTGTGAGTTTGTGTGTGTGTGAGTTTGTGTGTACATACTAGGTGTCTGTAGATAACAGAGGCATTGGAGTCTCTTCAGTTAGTGGAGGCTGTGAGCCGTTTGATGGATGCCAGGAACTGAACTCAGGTCCTCTGAAAGAGCAATATGTGCTCTTAACCACTGAGCCATGTCTTCAGCCCTAAATTGTACTTTCTTCTATGGTAATTGATGTCTTTCCTTCTAGCTTTTAATTCTTTCCTCATGAAGTAATATTATGAAATGGGTGCTTTTATATATCTAGTGTAGTTGCTTTACTTAAAAATTTTATTTTATGTGAATGGGCGCTTTGCCTGTGTGTGTGTCTAGGTACTACATGTATGCCTGGTGTCCATGGAGGCTGGAAGAGAGTGTCAGATCCCCTGCAACTGGAGTAACAGAGAGTTGTGAGCTTCCATGTGGATGCTGGGAATCAAACCTGGGTCCTCTCGAAGAGCGGCAAACGGTCTTAGCTGAGCCACCTTCTGCTCTGACTTAATGACATCATGTGAGCAGCATAGAATCAGCCAGGATGGGAATATGAGAATATTCATACCACTGCAGTTAGAAAAGTCATCCTTCCCCTTCCCTTCCCTTCCTTCCCCTTCCCCTTCCCTTCCCTTCCCTTCCC